AAAAATAAAAAAATTGAAAATGAAAATAGAAAAAAAAGGAAGAAGAAGAAGAAAAAGAGAAAAAAAGAGAAAAAAATAAAAAAAAAATAGAAAAAAAAAAGGAAAAAGAAGAAGAAAAACAAAAATACGAAGAAGAAAAGAAATGAAAAATAAAAAAAAATAAAAAAAAAATAAGAAAAAAAAAGAAGAAAGGAAAAAAAAAGATAAAAAAAAGTAAAAAGAAAAAAAAAAGATAAAGAAAAAAAAAAGAGAAAGAAAAAAAAAGAAGAAGAAGAAGAAAAAGAAGAAAAAATAAAAAGAAGAAATAGAAAAAAAGGGAATAAAAAAAATTAAAAAGGGAAAGGGGAAATAAAAAAGAAAAAATAAAAAAAAGAAAAGAAAGAAAAGGAAAAAAAGGAAAAGGGAACTAAAAAAAAGAAAAGAAAAAGAGGGGGAAATAAAAGGGGAGGGAAAGGGGGAAGAAAGAAAAAAATGGAAAAAAAAGAAGAAAAAAAAATGGAAAAGGGAAATAAAATAAAAGAAAAAAGAAGAAAAAAAAAAGAAAAAGGAATAAGAAAAAATAGAAAAAGGAATGAAAGAAAACAAAAAAAAATTGAAAAAAAATAAAAAATAAAAAAAAGAAAAAAAAATCAAAAAAAAAAATCAAAAAAAAAAGGAAAAACAAAAAAAAAGGAAAAAGAATATGACGACCCTAAGCGATTACCTGAAGGAACTCACGGGAGCGCGGGGTTCACATAATCGTCGGCTCGCTTAGGTGGGCCTCCTTTCAGCCTTTCAGTCTTAGTCGGTATAAGCGACTGCGGATCGGAAGCGAGTGCGGATTTTTCGAAATGTGTTAAAAATTTTTATATATTATAGCAATTACTATTATAATTAACTAAAGAATATTTATATAAATAATTAATTTACGAGCATACCTTTTTCCGAAACATTTAAAATCGTATTATTAATCGATAACAAGCTTGCTATTAAGCAGCAAGGTAAAGAAAATCTTGAATCTATTATAAAATAACAACGCGTCGATAAGATTTAAAAAAGGAAAAAGATGCTAAATATCGTAAAAGAATCGCATAATTAAGCGCGAGCGTAAAAGTATTATACGAAAACGCTTTGCTATAAGCTTAATTATTAAAGACGACGATACAATCAATACTTATTCTAATTTTCGATTCGAAAGAGATTTAATAGATATAACAACCTCTTGAGCGTTAAATTTTGCGGCCTCGTAAAAAAAGTATTCTTCGACCAACTCTCTCTTAACTCGAACTTTCTCTCGATAACGATAATTTGATAATTACAACCGATACTATTAGAGACCCTTCTTTAAAGCAAGATGTTTTTCCTTTTCTTAATATTAATATCGATAGCGATAGCTTCAATTCTAATAATAATAAAGATTCAAACGATTCGTTGCGTAAAGTAAAAGACGAGTCAGATTCTAATAAAAATAGCGATCGATAGTCAGATGTTTTATTAGATGATACGATTTTAGATGTTTCGAAAGAAGATATAATGATAGATTGATTATTTATATAAATATTTTTAAGTTATAATAGTATTTGCTATAATATATAAAAATTTCTAACACATTTCGAAAAATCCGCACTCGATTCCGATCCGCAGTCGCTTATACCGACTAAGACTGAAAGGCTGAAAGAAGGCCCACTTAAGCGAGCCGACGATTAGGAGCTCAGGAGAATCTCAAAGTAATAACTTAAAATCAATAACTACCGAGTGTAGAAGTCGAAGGTAGCTGAGGTCTATATACACGAAGGTAAGGGCGCCAAGGACTCGTGAACTATAGTTCATAGGTCAACAGAAGGGAATAAGAGAATACGAAGAATACGAAGGGAAAAAGGAAGGAGGTAGCTTAGCGCACGTGGGGATACGTTCAGGAGACCTGGCGTGTCGTCACAAAGAGAAAAAAGAAGAAGAAGAAAATAGATGAAAGAAAATAAAACAAAAATTGAAGAAGAAAATTGGAAAAAAAAAAAGGGAAAAAGGAAAAGAAAAAAAGGAAAAAAACAAAGGAAAAACAAAGAAAATAAAGCGAAGAAAAAAAAAAGAGAAAAAGGAAAAAAGAAAAAGAAAAAAAGTAAAAGGTAAAAAGATAAAAAGAAAGGTAAAAAGAAAAAAGAAAAAGAAAAAAAAATAGAGAAAAAAAGAAGAGAAAAAAGAAGAG